CCCCCCCACACACACACACACACCCATCTACCACTGCTGCCCTTCTGCCACTTCGTTACCTTCCCCACCCACTGCTGTCGCTTCTCTGTTATCTTGTCCCCCTCGCTGCTCCAGCACCGCATCACAGCTTGCACGGCTGAGGAGTTGGCCCGGCTAGCACTGCATGGAGCCAGCCGAGAATTGCGGGGCCTGGGCCAACTCTTGCTGAGTCCTGTGGTCCAGTAATGCAGCTGGGAAACCACGTGGTGCCAGGTCAGCTGGCGGGTGGGTGGGGAGAAGTGGTGGCGGCAGGCAGGAAAGTAGGGGAATGGCAGTGGCAGGAGCGGGGTGGGGGCAGGCATGAACATGGGGCTTGAATTAGAGGCTAAAAATTAGGAAATTTTTGAGGGTGTGTACATCATCTTATCTCTTCCTTTTCCCCCGTACTCTGCAGTAGTTTCTAAGTTCTTGGGGCAGCTATTGATGGCATTTGTCAATTTTTTTTGAGAGTAGGTGCTAGCTCAAGAGGAAATATGTCTAGCCATTGTTTAAGAAACCTTATCAACACTGACTCAATCATTAGCCTGCTCTTCCTTTCATGGGCAGGATGAAACAACTAAACAATGTACCAGATTTTCCTGACTTTTGCCAGTTGATTTTTAGGCCTGAATATGGTGTAGAAAGTGCATTTTAAAGACGGGAATGTAGATTTCTCAGTGGAGATATTAGGTGCCCAGTTTGAATAGCCACTGTCCGTGTCTACCAGGAAGAGTAACTGGAAGTTATCTACAAAGGCAGCTTCCAGTTGTCTCTGTGATCTTGTTATCTCACGGAAAGGGGAGTTGCGGGTAGCGGAGAATTGGCTGCTACAGTCCTTTTCAAGGTTACAATGAAGGTAGCTACTATGAAGAGTTTAATTTATTTTATGAAGAGTTTTCTCTATGCATCACAGTTTTTAGTGTACTGAGCCCATTTTTTTATGTAAATTTGGTTACTTTAAAATTTTGTTTTCCAGCAACTGGTTATTGAAAATGCCAGAGAAAAAATCCTGAGCAACAAATCGCTTCAAGAGAAGCTTGCAGAAAATATTAATAAATTCTTGGGCAGGTAAAAAAAAAAAAAAAATGTATGCATGAAATCCTGACCTTCTGTGCCCAATTTATTTCCAAATCCTTTATAAACTGTTGTTAATTGTGTTCCAGTGATGGCAGTGTTACTCAGGCTCCCAAACAAACCGACAGTGGCCTTGCAGAACAAGAGTCTGCAATTGATGAAATCCTTGGACTTCAGGTACTCATGCACTACTTAGGCATGAAAAAAAAATTATATAAGAGCTTTTTTAAGGCCATATTTAGTTGCAAATCTACAGGTTTTAATGGTTGCACTCACCAATGCAAATACAATTTGCTTAACAAATAACTCAAGTACAGATGGAAAAATTGAGGAAAATTAGGATTTAAACTGCACTTTTCCAAGTAGTAGGAATCCATCCTGCCACTAGATCTAGGGACTGTATCTTTTACCTAGTTGGTTTAAATAAGAGTTGTCATTCTGAAATGTACGCATGAAAAAGTGCTAACAGTGCATTTCACGTTTTAGAATCTGAATTGTACTTGAAAGCAAAATATTGGGATTATAATTGATATTTCCTTAGCTTTTGGCTAGGGAGGTCATGATGAAAAGCGTGATTTGTGCCAGTATAAATGCATGGCTTATTATTAATTTAAATCTGTTTTTCTTAACTTTTATATATGAATATTTTCATAATTATACTTATAATTATACTTGGTGTCTAATATCTTCCATGAATGCTTTCCCAAATTCTCATCACTTTTTTAATGCATTAAATTTGTAATGAAGAATACTTCCTGTTTCAGTTAATTCAGATTGTACTACTAAGTAAAATGTTACTGATAAGAATAGTTTGTTTTATATCGTAGGAGGGGTTTTTTTTAGCAGATCAATTTGTAAATCAGTTCTGTGATTTATTGCATGTCAGGGTGAAATCCATATGTCAGAAGAAGCAATACAGGACATCTTGGAACAGACGGAATCAGATCCAGCATTTCAAGCTCTCTTTGACTTATTTGATTATGGTAAGTTATGCTTTCCCTGTTTGAGCACTGTTGCAAAGCATGGACTTTCAAAGTGTTGCTTGAAAAAGCAAAACCTAACCAAGGAGATGGATTGCATTTGCCTTGCTGTTCAGTGTTTTATTCAAATATATCTTTTACCTTTCTAGCCTGGCTGGGGATAATCCTAGTAAAATATTACTGCAAAAATGAAGATATTTTTAAGTTATCAGTGGATTTCTAGTGAGAATCTGAATTTTGTGTGTTGTCATAATTTGGACTTTTAAATGCAAGCTTTTTATGTAAATTATGTTAGTTGAAAATTGCATGCGTTTAAGCTGAAACTGTTAATTCTGTGTTCACATTGTTGTTTTATTTTGAAATAGGTAAGAACAAAACTAATAAGAATTTACCTCATGGTGTTTCCAGTCAGAGTGGAGTTGAAAGTACAGTTGTGGGGGAAGAAAATAATCTGAATACCCTTGAAAGTTCTTTAGAAACCGAAGAAGTTAGTAAGTGGTGTTTATTATCTTCCTGTATCCATTTTGTCCTTAACAAAAATACCTGCAGGTAGTTGATTCATTCTGAAATTCAGGGCTTAATATTGCCACAATCCTGCAACTTACAAGGCGTGGGAAACTACTGATCCTCATGTACAGTGGTATAAAAGCTAGGGACTCAGGCAGCAGAATAGTCCCCCAAAACATTGTAAATTTTGCTTGACGATGCCATAAATTAATCAGATGAATGTTGTAGACTTCAAATTTGTATTTCCATTCTGAATGAGGAGATAGCCCTCCCAAATATACAGTTGGTCTAATAATAATTATAACAAAAAATCTAGGTCCATTGTTCTGTGTTGGGTCCTGTGAAGTATGCAAGATAAAATGTGCTAACACTTTTCCCAGGGCATAGCTGTATGTGTCTAAGTTAACTGTGAGTTATAGTCCAAGGAAAAGCCTGTCAGCTGTGCGTTCTCACTGTTGTGTTGCTAGTGTTTTTTTGACTTAGGTCAAAACCTGGAACAATCAGGCCTGCCTGTTTTACAGCTTCGTTGTCCTCTGGTTCTTTAGAGGACCTCTGGTTCTTCGTTGTCCTTGGGTTTGACCCAGATCAAAGTAGGAATGGCACAGCCATTTATAGTCACACTTCCAAGTCACGCTTCCAAGCTGCAGTCCTGCTTCTTTGCCAGTAGGTGGTAAGTGAGAGCACACAGCCTGATAGGCTTGTCCCTGAAATGAACTGTAATAACCATATAGACATGAGAGGATGTCGTGTGAAAAAGAGTTAGTGCATTTTATCTGGTATACTTCAAAGGGTCTTGAAGTGGGACAGTGGTTATGTACATCTATAAAATTTTGGGACAGAAGGCTTTCTCCCAGGACAGAGATGGGATGTTTGTTTATAGTTATGAATAGTCATTCCTTTGTTCCAGGAAAAACCCTCTTCCTGCAGTTATCAACTATTTTAGGCTCAAGTGTCCCCTAAGAAAATGCCAGCTCTTAGTCAAAAAAAAACCCAAGTGAAAATTACAGAAAAACAATACAGCAGTTTTTCTGTTGCAGAGGGGTCAGAGAGACTGCAGCAGCTCACAATGTTTTTAACACTATGGATTCTTACTTGAAATCTCTGGGTTTATCTTGTGAATCATGTTTGCACAACTAACATTGTTATCATTGTGTAGCACCCTTGAAAGGATCTCTAGGCATTTCAGGGTGCTCTGCCATACTGGATGAAAATCACTGCTTTAGTCCCAGGGTTGTAAAGGTGTACAAGTCCATCGTCCCACTTTAGTCCTTCTGAAAGCTCAGCGGACAAACAAGTAAGAGATGGGGATAAGGG